TACATTTTGGAAACAAAATGTTATTACTGCCATGACTCAATGTCAGGACCACGTTTTAGCTTTTGGGGTGTTTTCTTTCTTTTTTAAATTTTGTTTTTATTTTATTTATTTATTTATTTATTTATTTATTTATTTATTTATTTCTGAGAGACTAAGAGAGACAGCCCACGAGTGGGTGAAGGGCAGAGAGAGAGGGAGACACAGAATCCGAAGCAGGCTCCAGGCTCTGAGCTCCCAGCACAGAGCCCGACGCGGGGATCCACCTCACCAGCAATGAGATCATGACCTGAGCCAAAGTCGGACACCCAACCAACTGAGCCACCCAGGCGCCCCTCTTTTTTAAATTTTAGAACAGTTTAAATTTACAGAAAAATTGAGAAGAGAGTTTCCATATACCTCCAACCCAGGTTCCACCATTATGAACATTTTACATTACATGGTACATTTGTCACAATCAATGAACCAGCACTGATTCATTATTATTAACTAAATTCATATTTTATTCAGAAATCCTTAGTTTTTCCATAATGTCGTCTTTAGTTCCAGAACCCCATCCACCTACATTCTGGACCCCAACCACGTTACATTCAGTTGCCATTCTCCTTAGGCTCCTCTTGACTGTGGCAGTTTTTCAGATTTTCCTTGTTCCTGATGACCTTGAGAGTTTGGAGGAGTACTGGACAGGCAATTTGTAGAATGCCTCCCAGATGGAAATTTTCAGATGTTTTTCCCATGATTAGACTGGGGTTTCTTGTAAGGAAGACCAGAGAGGAAAAAATGTTGTTCTCATTACACCATATCAAGGGTACATACTATCACCTTGACTTATCGATGTTGATCTTAATCTTGATCACCTGGTTGAGGGAGTGTTTTGTCAGGATTCTCCAATGCGAAGTTACTCCCCCCCCACACACCTTTTTTCTTTGGAAGGAGGTCACTGTGCATAGCCCACACCTAGGGAGTAGAGGGGTTATGTTCCTCCTCAAGATTTGAGGATCTAGATACATTTTTTTGGAATTCTCCACAGGAGATTTGTCTATTACTGCCTATTTATTTATGTATTCAATCATTTATTTTATATCAGAATAGACTTGTGTATATTTATTTTATACTTTGGGTTATAATCTAATACTTTTTTATTTTGTTGCTCAAATTGTCCCAGATTTGCCCTTTGGAAGCTCTTTCAATTGGCTCTGTGTCCATTTGATGTACCTCTATCTTCCTGTTTTGTTTGTTTGGGACTTCCTTACTTTCTTTACTAAGAGATCCAGGCTCATCTTGCATATTTCCTGCCCCGAGCCTCAAATCAGTCATTTCTCTAAAGAGAATGTTAGAGCCAAGTTTTGTTTTGTTTTGTTTTTTTAAATTTTTTTAATGTTTTATTTATTTCTAAGAGAGAGAGACAGCGTGAGCAGGGGAGGGTCAGAGAGAGAGGGAGACACAGACTCCGAAATAGGCTCCAGGCTCCGAGCTGGCAGTCAGCACAGAGCCCGACGCGGGGCTTGAACCCATGAGGCGCGAGATCATGACCTAAGCGAAAGTCGGACCCTTAACTGACTAAGCCACCCAGGCTCCCCTTTAAGTTTATTTTTGAGGGAGAGAGAGAGAGCACAAGCAGGGGAGGGACTGAGAGAAAGGGAGACACAGAATCCGAAACAGACTCCAGGCTCTGAGCTGTCAGCACAGAGCCCAGTTCGGGGCTGGAACCCATGAACTACAAGATCATGACCTGAGGTGAAGTCAGATGCTTAAGTTTTTTTTTTTTTTTTAATGTTTATTTTTGAGGGGTCGGGGGAGAGGGAGCAGGGAAGGGGCAGAGAAAGAGGGACAGAGGATCCGAAGGGGGCTCGGTGCTCACAGCAGAGAGCCTGACATGGAGCTTGAACCCTTGAACCCACGAACCCACAAACCCACGAACTCTAAGATCATGACCTGAGTGAAGTTAGACACTTAACTGACTACGCTTCTCAGGCAACCCAATGTTAGAGCCAACATTTAATCTTAGTAAATGTCTGTCTAACTGGAAGCTGGGACAGATGATCTGTCATGTGGACAGGAATAAGACACAACCCACCAATAGGAGGGGACTTTCCCAGCAGTAGCAGCTACAATTGCAAGTCCTTCGCTGAGAAACAGGTGACTCACCAGCTCTCAGGGTTGTCTCCACCCTCCCCCTCTTGCTGGCAAGACTGTCCCTAAACCAGCTCAGACAGAGGGACCTAGGTCAGAAAGTGTCCCCACCCATGGGGCCTGTCGCAGACCAAGTCAGGGCTTTTCTCCATGCCAGACAGACTCCTCTCCCCATTTGTGTATTATTTATATATATCCTTCCTATCTGCAGAAAGGATTGAACAGGATTATCATCAAACTTACAGCTATAATAAAACTATTATTAAAACTTGGGTAAAAGGATAAGACCTCTGTGAAGAAGAGCCTGTATGTGTGTAGTAATTTTGTCCCAGACACTTGGTTCCCTGAATCACAGATTGTGAACGCCAGAGCACTTTCAGAAATAAACATGCTTCACCTGTCATTTTATAACTCCGAGATGGATCAAGTAATTTCTTGGGAGTCACACAGCTAATGAGCTGAAGAACTGGGACTACAAGGACAGGTCTCCTGATGTACATGTGTTTTCAAATCTTCATTCTTGCCTCCCGTTCCAGGAGAGCAAAAAAGAACAGCTTTTGGACCTCCTGGGGGATATGATGGCAAGACAAAATTTTGGGGCCTCTTTCACTTGGTAGATGAATAAACTTATTCTTTGGGGCTATAATTAGGTATTATTAGCATCCCCAGATATTTAATCTTAGGGAATGTAGAATGTAGACTTTGGGATATAGAAGTGGATATTGGGGAGGATCCTACCATTTCCCACACAGTCAAGATTTTTTTTTTTTTTTTTTTTTGAGAAAGACAGACAGCAGGAGCAGGGGAGGGACAGAGAGAGGGAAACACAGAATCTGAAGTAGGCTCCAGGCTCTGAGCTCTCTGCACAGAGCTGGATGTGAGGCTCAGACTCATCAGCTGTGAGATTATGAACTGAGCCAAAGCTGGACATTTAACCGACTAAGCCACCCAGGCGCCCTGAACTACACTTAAGATTTTACTTAAAAACAATTTTTTTAATGTTTTATTTATTTTTGAGAGAGAGAGAGAGAGTGAGAGTCAGGGAGAGAGGGAGACAGAATCCAAAGACAGGCTCCAGGCTCTGAGCTAGCTGTCAGCACAGAGCCCGACACGGGGCTCAAACGCACAAACTGTGAGATCACGACCTGAGCAGAAGTCCAATATTTAACCGATTGAGCCATCCAGGTGCCCCAAGATTTTAATGGTTAAATCAGTAACTTCCTGGCTGTTGCCCTTAACTTTTTTTTTAAGCTTATTTACTTATTTTCAGAGAGAGAGAGAGAGTACTCATGCTAAAGGGGCAGAGGGAGAGAGAGAATCCTAAGCAGGCTCCACACTGTCAGCAGAAAGCCCAACGTGGGCTCGATCCCAGGAACTGTGAGATTGTGACCTGAGCCAAAATCAAGAGTAGGACATTTCACCTGAGTAACCCAGGTGCCCCTTCCTCAACTTTTGACAAGGAAGGGAGGAAGGGGGAAAAAAACAAGAAAGGGAGCCAGGAAGGAAGGAAAAAGGAACAAAGGAAAAATAAAAATCCTCAAGGATCCTGAGATTTGTTTTCAAGAATTTTAGAGATTTGAATTTATGGATTTTTATACTACCAACTATTTAAGAAACAGTATTATCTCTTTTCTTTAATATTCACTGCCCCCTCCCCTCTCAATACTCTCCCTGCAATAACTCACGAATGAGGTGTTTTCAATGATCTTTGTACACAGGATGAGATGAAAGACTGCCTTGGAATTCATAGAAAGGATTCTGGGCCTGGTGTCCTTGTGTGGCTGAAATAAAGAGATGAAATTAGCTCTCTTGGTGACCTTCCTAGAGCTACCTGGGATATCTTGTCTCAATCTGTAAACTCCTTCTGGGGTAAGGACAGTGGGTGGCCCAGAACAGCATTCAGCAAATAGGTAATTACTATGTGCTTTTTTGATGATGATGATGATGATGAAGATAATATTCGGCACTTTGGAGATTTAGAAAATATTCAAATGTTGAATTGCCCTTGGAGATCTTCCCCAGCTAGCTTCTCCATTACCCTGAATTCCTTTAGCAGAGCCCAGTGAAGATGTTTAAAGCCTGCCTTCAAGCCCAATCTAAAGGAAGTTTCTCCCTGAGAGAACAGTAAATTCCTGTCTGGTGTGTTCTTGTTTGAGTTTATCTTCTGGCTTTTCATGGTCTGTATGGTTGGGGTTTTTTTTGTTTTGTTTTCTTTTGTTATTCTGTTAAGATTTTTTTTTTTAATTCTTTTAAGATTTTATTTTTTAAGTAATCTCCTACACGGAATGTGGAGCTAGAATTTACAACTCTGAGATTAACAGTCTCGGGCTTCAGGGACTGAACCAGACAGGCACTCCCATGATCTGTATATTTTTAAACATCATTCTTTAATTAAGAAAAGTATTATCCAGACTTTTATACTCGTGCAAACATATATCTACGTTTTTGTTTTAATTTGAACGAAGCTTTAATTTGAACATGTTGTATTATGTGTTCTGCAACTGGCTTCTTCCTCCTAACAATAAATTCTGGATATTTTTCTCTGCCAAGATAACTTAGATCTGCCTCATTTTGGCGATTCTTTGTCCTTGTACCTGCGTGATTCCCGGAGCGCCAGTTTTCGGCTTGGCTCTCTTGCTTCCTGGGGTATGTTCTTGCCAGACCTCATGGGGTTCGCTGCCCCGCGAGGCCTGGGACAGGGCATGGCGAGTGGGCGGGGTCCCGGGCCGCACGGGACATGCAGATGAAGTGGGCGGAGCCCCCACATATACCCAGGGTTAGCGGCTGGCCGGCGCGCCGGGCTTTGGGAGACTCAGAGGCACCCTGTGGAACTTGCTTTCCCGAGCGCAGCGGAGCCTGATCCCGGGCTGTCCCCGGAGCGGGCCATGCCCCCGCGGGAGCTGAGCGAGGCCGAGTCGTCCCCGCTCCGGGCCCCGACCCCTCCCCCGCGGCGGGGCAGCGCGTCCCCGGAGCTGGGCATCAAGTGCGTGCTGGTGGGCGACGGCGCCGTGGGCAAGAGTAGCCTCATCGTCAGCTACACCTGCAATGGGTACCCCGCGCGCTACCGGCCCACAGCGCTGGACACCTTCTCCGGTACGTTCAAAGGCCCCGGCGGCCGCGTGGCTGGGCGTGGGGTTGTGCACCCGGGGGCTGCGGCAGGCGCGGGGACTGGAGGGCAAGGAAGCTTCCCGGGAGGGGGAAGGGAGCAGGCCCTGAGGTGGCGCTGGTGAGGTCTGGTGGGGCCCAAGGCGCCCTTCCTGACTTGTATTCTCCCTCTCTGACCCTGCAGTGCAAGTCCTGGTGGATGGAGCCCCGGTGCGCATTGAGCTCTGGGACACAGCGGGACAGGTGAGAAGCTGGGAGCGGCCTCTAATGGTCTGGGAGAAGGTGGGTTGGGAAATGGAGAAGGTCTTGGGCCCTTGAAGTCTCAGGTCTGCAACCCCAGGTGAAAAGCAGATTACTGTTCCCTGTGGCAGGGAATAATCTTACTAAAAATCTGGTCTTCCCCTCGTAGGAAGATTTTGACCGCCTTCGCTCCCTCTGCTACCCGGATACCGATGTCTTCCTGGCCTGCTTCAGCGTGGTGCAGCCCAGCTCTTTCCAGAACATCACAGAGAAATGGCTGCCCGAGATCCGCACTCACAACCCCCAAGCTCCCGTGCTGCTGGTAGGCACCCAGGCCGACCTGAGGGACGATGTCAATGTACTGATTCAGCTGGACCAGGGGGGCCGGGAGGGCCCAGTGCCCCAACCCCAGGCTCAGGGTCTAGCCGAGAAGATACGGGCCTCCTGCTACCTTGAGTGTTCTGCCTTGACGCAGAAGAACCTGAAGGAGGTATTTGACTCAGCTATTCTCAGTGCCATTGAACACAAAGCCCGACTGGAGAAGAAATTGAACGCCAAAGGTGTGCGAACCCTCTCGCGCTGCCGATGGAAGAAGTTCTTTTGCTTTGTTTGAACAGCCACAGCAGCTAGGGAGTAGTAGGCATAAGACCACAGACTTCTGGAAACTGGGGTACTGGGGCCTTTGAGGGGGATACTGGCAGGACCAGCCCTCCTCATGGGACTTAGTTCCATCTGAACACTGTGAGGACATGGGCCTCTAATTACCCACTGTAATATGCAAGGATGGGCCCAGGGCCTGGAGGAGGCGAGGCTCTGAGTTGGATTTCTGTGGTCAAGGATCACAGAGAAATGCCAGCACTTTGATTTTCGTGGGGGTGGTCCTAACAGTGTCATCCACCGCTAAGCAGTTTAGGATCCAGTTCCCAGTTTCTTACCATGAGCCCTCAGGTCAGCCTGGCGGAATTAGGACCCCTTGTGGTGGTCCCCACCTCTTCCTTGGCATAGGGGTGAGAAAGAGCCTGGCAACAGCAGGAAGATGGAGAAGTTACAGAGAGGTTTGGGATGGACTGGGTAAGACAGAGGTCAATGAGAGATTGAAAGGGAGCAGAAAGTGAGGCCTTGGAGCCTTGGGACTGGAGGGAGGCTGGTGACGAGGCAGGTCAGAGGGCTAAGCTTGGAGAAAGAGCAAGGGGAGCAGAGAAGTGGGGCAGCTGAGGAGCAAGGCTGACACCTGGGCTGCCCTCAGCCCCAGGGCCACGGTGGGCGGGGCTGCTGGTCCCTGGGAAGAACTGGGTCTCAGGGCTCCCTAGGCACTGCCCAAACTGGCTGGGCCAGGAGCAGGGCAGGAAGTGAGAGGCAAGGCCCAGCAAGAGGAGGGGGAGGAGTTGCAAACTAGAGCCTGAAGGAAGAAGGGGCTGGGGTCGCCCCTTTCTCCAAGGCCACAGCCTAGAAGGTAGAGCAGTAGAGTCTGCAAATAAAGCCTTAAGTTTCTGAAGCTGCTGTCTCTGTGTCATTTCCTGGAGCTGTCTGCCCATTGCTCTACGAGAGTCCTCTTCAAGGCCCAACAGCCAGGATAGATGGGTTGGGCACTGAAGGACTGAGGCTAGACTGAGAGGTGGGGGCTGGACAAGATGAGACAGTGTGATGGGAACTGGACTGGGGTGGGGGGGCAGGTCTGGGGCTCCCCGCTTGGAGCTTAGCTGGTTCCCAGGAGAGCTAGCGTGGGAAGCAGCCTAGGAACGGGTTTCCCCAGGTGTCAGCGCCAGAGCTGCTTTCCCATGACCTCACCAGGCGGGTGGAGCCCCTCCCCTCTTCCCCTCCTTTCTAGAGCACCTCGCTCAGCACTGGGGTTCTGGGCAGTGCTAGGCCCTCCCTCTTACCTTCCTGCTCTGATCCTTCTTTTTATTTAATTATTTTTAATTCTTTTTTTAATGTTCTATTTATTTCTGAGAGAGAGAGAGAGACATCGTGAACAGGGGAGGGTCAGAGAGAGAGGAAGTCACAGAATCCGAAGCAGGCTCCAGGCTCTGAGCTAGCTGTCAGCACAGAGCCCGGCACGGGGCTCGAACCCACGAACCAAGAGATCATGACCTGAGCCGAAGTTGGATGCTTAACTGAGTGAGCCACCCAGGCGCCCCTGATTCTTCTAACTGTCCCCAGGGTCTTGAGGTAGGGGGTCACTTGGCTTAGAGCCTGAGTATGACAGAACTCCATACAGCCTAAACCTCAGCCACTGGCAAACTTCTGGGTCAAGTTGGTTGAACCTAGTCTTCAGTCTTGTCACTCAAAATCTACATGAGGACTGACTGAAGGTCAAGGTGCCGGTTTTCAGTAATTTAAATAGCAGTTTGGTCCCAGAAATCCTGTGGAGTGTGGATTTATTGGCTGATGACTTGGAGAGGAACAGGGATCTAGAGAACATTCCCTGGAAGTGGAGCTAGAAGAAACTTGACCGGGCACCTTGGGGGAAAACACACTCTTTTTACCCACAAAGAAAGTGAGACCTGGAGAAAAAAGGTAATACCTCAAGTGAGATATTATTAGCAAGTAGCTGTAAGAGCACTTTGCAAACTAGAGTTCCATACGTGGGTAAGTGTGATTTCTATGGAGAGGTATTTCTAAGGCACACCTGGGGCACCTGCTGGGTCTGGTGAGTGCACACCCTTGTCACAGCCTAGCTCCCTCTGCAGGAAGTTACAGCTGCCTGTGTATGGGAAAGAGCAGGGCTGAAGGACAGAAATCCTAGCCAAGTGAAATCTTAGATAATCCCCAAATTTAGTTTTAGTCCAGACTGTCCAGCTTCTGTCCCCCCAGGGCCCATCCCCAAGAGCTCCAGCCATCCTGTCTGCCCTTGTCCCTGCCCCTCAGGTGGAGGTGCTGGAGCTGCACTACTGCAGCCAGGTTCTGAGGGGTCTCACACCCCAGCTCCACAGCCTCTGTTACCTGGGTTCAAGTTCAGGCTGTGACATCAACCATGACCCTAAGCAAATCATTTCCCTTCTGTGTGCCTCAGTGTCCTCATTTGCAAAATGAAAGACTCCGGATTCTGGGGATGCCTGAATGGCTGTCAGGAGAGCATGCAATTCTCAATCTTAAGGTTGTGAGTTCAAGCTTCATGTTGGCCAAGGAGTCCACTTAAAAAAATAAAATAAAATAAAATAGAATAAAAGAAAATACCCAGGATTCTGGATTAAAGGTTTTCAAACTGCTCCAAGGGGTCTTAGAGGTGCCATGAGATGGGGGAGTAAGCCTAATCAGGTGATCTCGGGGGCCCCTCACCTCCAGCTTCTTCCGTAATTCTCTGTTGGTACCAGCACATCCATGGCACCCTGTCTCTTCTGCTAGGTCACTGAGCCTGGTCGGCACCTCTGTCAGCCTTGCCTTCTCCATCCCTGCCATTGCTGCTCTCCATCTAGGGTCTCCAGTGCTGCTGCCTTCACTTTGGCACCTCTCTGGCTCAGGACTCTTACCAGCTCTCATTGCCTGCAGTGAACTCCCAGGCCCTCATTTAGCATTCAAGGCCTTTTTTTTTTTTCCTTTTTTCTTTTTTAATTTTTTTTTAATGTTTTTTTTTTTAAATTTATTTCTAGGAGAGAGAGAGAGAGACAGCATGAGCAGGGGAGGGTCAGAGAGAGAGGGAGTCACAGACTGAAACAGGCTCCAGGCTCTGAGCTGGCAGTCAGCACAGAGCCCGACGTGGGGCACGAACCCACGAACCGCGAGATCATGACCTAAGTGAAAGTTGGACGCTTAACCGACTAAGCCACCCAGGCGCCCCTCTTTTTAAATTTTTTAAATGTTTATTTTTGAGACAGAGAGAGAGACAGAGCATGAACGGGGGAGGGGCAGAGAGAAAGGGAGACACAGAATCTGAAACCGGCTCCAGGCTCTGAGCTGTCAGCACAGAGCCCTATGAGGGGCTCAAACCCAGGAACTGTGAGATCATGACCTGAGCCAAAGTCGGATGCTTAACCAACTGAGCCACCCGGGTGCCTCTCAAGGCCTTTTCAAATCCAACACCAACCTGGACCAGGCCAGCTGGCCCCAGTGATCCCATTCCTTGATCCCCAATTGTTTTTTGACTTCTGACTCCCAAGTCTTTGCTTTTGCCAAATCCCTTAGTTTGCAAAGTGTGCCCACCCCCCACCCCCCGCAATGTGTCTTGTTTCTCTTCTAATCATCCTTCAATACCCCCCTTTTCCAGGAAGCATCTTACTTATATCAGTGTCTGTACTGCTCTCTTGGCATTTCAAGGGCACTCTGAATTTGATTACTTACTCAGGCTGCATCTCTCCAATGAAATAGAAAGTCCTCTTCAGGCCCCTGTGCTCCCACAGGGTCTTGGGCTCAGGCAATGTTTGCTGCCGGCCCTTAAGTGCTTAAGATAAAAAGCCAACCAGAGAGCCATGGAAGGGACCCTGGGAATCAAGCTCAGCTCCAGATACATGTTACTGAAGCCAGCAGGCAGGCCTGAGAACAATGGGCCCTCTGAGACGGAGGGCCCAACCTCATGCAGGACAGGAAGCATTTACCTCTGGTTCCAAACCCACTGACCCATTCTGCTTCTGTTTCTCTCTATAATATCTGTTTTTGTCTCTTTATCTTTCCTTTGCCCTTTTTCCCTTTCTTTCCAGTCTTGAATCTAAATTTAAAAGTATTGATTTTATTAATCAGATAAAATCGTATATTACATCTACATTTTTCCATGGCCTTATGGATTAAATTGTTTGTTTTTTTTAAGTTTATTTATTTATTTTGAGAAAGCCAGAGACAGTGTGAGGTGAGGGACAGAGACAGAGGGAGACAGAATCCTTAGCAGGCTCTGTGTTGCCAGCACAGAGAGTGATGCATGGCTCAGACCCGTGAACCATGAGATCATGACCTGAGCTGAAACCAAGAGTCAGTCGCTTAACCGATTGAGCTACCCAGGTGCCCCGGATGTAAATTGTTTTTTAATGTCTATATAACCAACCCTTAGCTGATTTTTTAAATGTTTATTTTCCCATAATACATACTCATAGGAAAATTAGAAAATTCAAAGAACTAGAATATTAAAACCTTAGTAATAGTCTTAATTCCCAAAGATCACCAGTAGTACCATTTTGAAGTACTTCCTTCCAGCCTGCTCTTCTGCATATTTTTGAAATACTTATTTCTGGTCATATTGTATACACAATTTTGTATTTTTGGGGTTTTTTTTTTCATTTAAAAATTTAACAGGGGTGCCAGACTGGCTCAATCAGTGGAGCATGAAACTCTTGGTCTCAGAGTCATGAGTTCAAGCTCCACACTGGGGTTGGAGCCTACTTAAAAGAACAATAGGGACACCTGGGTGGCTCAGTCGGTTAAGCATCCAACTTCAGTTCAGGTCATGAGTTCACAGCCTATGAGTCTGAGCCCCAAATCGGGCTCTCAGCTGTAGAGCTGAGAGCCTGGAGCCTTCTGATTCTGTGTCTCCCTCTCTCTCTGCGGGCCCCCCCCCCCCACACTTGCACTCTGTCTCTGTCTCTCAAAAATGAATAAACATTAAATAAAAAATTGGGTGGCTGGTTGGCTCAGTTGGTGGAGTTGTGAGTTTGAGTCCCACACTGGGTTACAAATTACTTTAAAAAATATTTTTTAAAAAATAAAAATTTTCTAATACTTAAGTATTTTATTAAGTATTCTAATACTTAAAAACATATATATACCCACAGCCTGGAACTCACAGCTGCAAGACCAAGAGTTGCATGCTCCACCAACTGAGCCATCTAGGTGCTCCACATATAGAATTTTAACAGTGTTTTTCATGTTATAAACTGTGACCAGAGGCTGTACCCATATTTGTATATTTGCTTACTATTACACCCTGACCATAATTTCTTTAACTGGATCCCAGTTTGGGAACACTTAGGTTGTTTTCCTTTCATTTTTTTTTTCTATTATAAACGATACTCCGTCGACATTTGATTTTTTTTTCCACCTAGGGTTGGTGACCATCTACAGAAAAAAAGTTTGTCTTTGGTTTGGAGACTGGATCCATCCCAAGTGACTCTTAAGAGAGAGCTTGGGTTTCTGTGTACATATGACTCTTCTGGGGGGGTGTGCTCTTTATGTTGGAGCATGACTAGCAGATTGTGGGTGTTCAATAAATACTAAATGATGACAAGGTGCATGTACATTATGTATTTGTGTTCACATATATTTCTCTGTGTCCCTGTTTTTGTTCTTGCATATTTAAAGTGGGTATTGTCTTTGTGCAAACCTCAGAATAATTCCATGTATATGCAAGTCTGTGTATCTGTGTCTGTGAATGTGGTGTCTCTCTCTAGGCAAGATATGTACAGCCCTGCACGTGTATGTCTCTGTGCCTACATGAAGTCTGCCCTTAGATGAGTGTGTATCATACACCAGTCTGTGTGTCTAGGTATGTATGTTGGTCTCAGCGCCTGTGTGTGCA